AGAGTAACCGTAAATACACATATAATCCACATATAAAAATAATATTAATAAATAAATAATAAAAATAAATCTTTATTTCCACAAGAACATGATACAACTTGTACAGACCATAGCTGACATCAATGACATGGAATGTCATTGATGACATGAAATGTCATTGATGACATGAAATGTCATTGCAACTATTATTACTCTTGTCCCTGAAGATATGACGACGTTTCAGTCCGACTTGGACCATTAATTATCCATAACGTCGTGATAAGATTATCTCCCCTATGTGCGGGTTATTTATGTATTGTTCCAGTCACAGTATTGGTACCTTTTTTTTTTTATTCTGAATGTACTTTTAAAAGACGATGTTTTGCCCTCACTAGAGCTCCATCAAGTCACCGAGAGAGCAAAATAGAGGCTTTAAATATTCCATGACGGAGTTCCAACCTTTCAAGATCTTTTTTGTGATCTCCAGAGGAATCTTAAGGTCGAACATTTCTTTTCTGTTAATAATGCAAAATAAGAAAATAAAGAAATTATCTAAGCTTCTTGACATTCTTTTTCGATTTTGTCTTCAAAGCTCCCCTCCCCCCCCAAAAAAAAAAATGTAAATTTTCCCAGTGTTCCATGAAACTGACTTTAAATTTGACTTCTGTAAAATTAACTCTCTGTTTCCGTCCCACTCGAAGAATTTTTCTCTTAAGCAGAGTTAAATTCTCTGATTGTTTCTCTTAAGCAGAGTTAAATTCTCTGATTGAAGCATAATCACCAATTTTAAAGACGTGGGGATGAAAGGGGGGGAGGGTAAGCCAGCGGAAGGCGTCGGTCAGATAACCAAAAGCTCAGGAAACACTTGTCCTGTTTCCTGAGAAATATTATTTCTGATTAAAGAACTCTCAGGGATTTGTCATTCCATATTGAGTATTAAATGGAATTAGAAGCCTTGACTGAATAAAGTTTGACCGCGTCTGTGTCACTCTGAGAGGAAAGTTTGACCGCGTCTGTGTCACTCTGAGAGGAAAGTTTGACCGCGTCTGTGTCACTCTGAGAGGAAAGTTTGACCGCGTCTGTGTCACTCTGAGAGGAAAGTTGTGACACAGATCGTCTGAGTAAATCACTGCGAAAAATAATGTAGTTTATTTCAGGAATTATTTTTTTCACTGATTTCTCCTCGATGCTCTTCTCTCCCTTCTTCTCTCTTCCCCTTTCTCGAGCCTCTTAATTCTTGTTGGTATTATAGATTCCTCTCTCTCTCTTTCTTCTAATTTTCTTCCTATCCCTGTTCTTACCCTTCTCAATTATTTTCTTTTTCATATTCTTCCTCTTTCTCATTTCTAAGATCTTTCCCCTAAAATAATGACGCATCCCAGTAAAAGAGAAGCCTCATCTAATTTATAAAAAAAAAAATATTTTATGTCATATCTATATTCTATTTATCTATCTTCTATCTATCTTATCTATCTATCTATAAAATATATATATGTATAAATATATATATATATATTATATATATATATAAAATATAAATATAAAAATATATAATATATATATAATTTTAAAAAAATATAAAATATATATATATATATATGTATATATGTATATATATATGTCGTGCCGAATAGGCAGAACTTGCGGTCTTGGCTTAAATAGCAACGCTCATCTTGCCATATAGGACAAGTGAAAATTTGTGTATGCAATAATTTCACCAAAATCATTCTGAACCTAACGAAAAAAAATATATTTGATTGTGTTTGTTTAGTACTAAATTATTGTAAACGTATTTAAAATATATTTAGTTGGGTTAGGCTAAAATAAATTGCTCTTGTTATAAAAAGGTTAGGTAAGTTTTCTAAGATTCTTTTGGTGCAAAATTAAAAATTTTTTACATTAACATTAATGAAAAAAATATATCTTTAAACGTATAAGAGAAAATTTCAGAAAGGACTTAATTTTAAATGAGTTCTTGCTAAATGACCAGTTTTACACATTCGGCACGACATATATATATATATATATATATAATATATATTATATATATATATATATATATATAATATATATATATATATATATATATATAATATATATATATATATATATATATATATATACATATACATACATACATACATACATATATAAAATTACAGCGCAGCCACCCAGGGAGGTACTACCGTCCAGCCAAGTGAGTGTAAAACGAAAGCCTGTGATTGTTTTACATGCTGGGAGCAAAGGGCTAGTAACTGTGGAAGAGGATGTAATCAGTCACTCAGCCTTCCAGACTATGCAGAAGACAGTAGAGGATGAGGTAATCAGTCCCTCAGCCTAGGAGAGCAGGTATTCAGTGCGTGGTCTTGATGAATGTGGAGCAGTGGCGGGAAGATGGACGTTTATGAGGCGCACTGGTGAATTCAACCTGCCTGTGACCATGACTTTATCTGCCTCATCTAACTCCTGATACCCTAGACTCACCTGCTTACTGCCTCACCTAACTCCTGATACGCTAGACTCACCTGCTCACTGCCTCACCTTACTCCTGATACACGAAGACACCTGCTTACTGCCTCACCTAACTCCTGATACACGAAGACACCTGCTTACTGCCTCACCTAACTCTCACGGTGACAAGAAAAATATGGAATATGTCTTCAGCAGTTGCTGCACACTTTTCTTCTTTCCTCGTATTTTTCTGCTGCTCTTCTTGGGCTGTCTGCCTCCATCTTAAGTGGATCTGATATTTCTCGCTCACCGAAACTTGCTTTTGCAATGAATCATATTTCTATGAGAGAAATGGATGAGAATACATTTTTTTGGGACACCTATAATTACGACGTTCTGGTCCATGGAACGTCATCACCTCTAATACATGTGGAGTATGAGAGGAGACAGTAGTAGTAGTAATAGTAGTGTAGTAGGAGGAGCAGCAGCAGTAGTAGTAATAGTAATAATAGTATAGGAGCAGCAGCAGTAATAGTAGTATAGTAGTAGTGGTAGTTGTAGTAGTAGTAGTAGTAGTAGTAGTAGTAGTGGTAAGTAGTAAGTAGTAGTAGTAGCAGTAGTAGTTGCAGTAGTAGTAGCAGTGTAGCAAAAGTAGTAGTAAAAGTAGTAGTCATAGTAGTAGTAGTAGTGTAGTAGTAGTAGTAATGGAAGCACTCTAAGAAGGTGGGGATGACTGAACCTCCAAAGAACTTTCTTCGTCTTTGACCTGGTTCCCAGTAAACCAATTTACCATCTTGGCAACTCATTTTTTCTGTGTATGACACCAGCGTTCTTAGTGTCATCCCTGCTGCAGGCGTTCATATGTTCGCTAACTCTCGTGGTTAAGTCTCTCCCAGTTTCTCCCATGTAAACCTTGTTATGCTCCCCACAGGGGATGATGTATATTTTCTTTAGGGGTGTCCAATAGACTGAGATTGTGTTCTTGGTGATGTTACCAACAAAAGCAGTGGCACTGGCGGCGACTTGAATGTTTCTTGTAAAAAGATAAAAACATAAGAAGAAAGGAGCACTACAGCAGTCCTACTCACTAGACAAGTCCATCTCACACCCACCCACACCCACTCATGTTTAAATTCTGTTTTTATCAAGGCTACGTCTTTCTAAAATTGTCGCTCAGCCTCTCTTCTTTACGTTGCGTATTCGTTTCTAGTTCTCCTGCTCATCTCTCTGCTTTTTGCTATTATTTGTTTTATTTATTTTTTTCCATGTACTCGCACTTTCAGCCATTGCCTGGCTGCACCTCGGGGAGAACCATAGGCTCACTTTATTCTTGCCATTTCTTCTTTTGCTCCTGGGTTATGACTTTGTCCTTAGCCTCCAGGCACTTTCCAGGAAAAAAAAATCCACTATTTTATTCGTTATATTTCCTTCCGCTGCTTCCCTTTCTCACTATATTACATTCAGGAATTCTCTCACACATCTGTATGGTTTCTCCCTTTCCTCTTGTGCTATGTTTATCTATGTGTTAGCTTACTCGAGGTTCTCAAAACTCAGAACACTGTGGTCACTAACACCCGCTGGCTCCTCATATCATATTACACCCACGTCAAATTCACTTAGGGTGAATACTAGATTCAACCTTGCTGGTTCATCTTCTCTCTCTCGCTCTCTCTCTCTCTGGTTGTGTCCTTAACGTGCTGCCACAGCAAGTAACCCATCACCACTTCCATCATGTCAGTTTTCCAAGTTTTTAATTCCCTGCATGGATCCAATTTGCATGTGTACTCACCTGTATGTGGTTGCAGGTATCGATTCATAGCTCCTGGCCCCGCCTCTTAGATAGTCGCTACTAGGTTGAATCTCTCCCTGATCCAAGAGCCTTATCGTACTTCTTAAAACTCTGTATGAATCCTGCCTCCAGGTGTGTGTGTGTGTATGTGATTACCTGCCTGCTGAACCATGCTAGGCACTTCCTACTCACATAAAAATAAGAACACAATAATGGAGGAACAATTCAGTAGAATTGTCTATGCTAGACAGGTTCTACAAACAACTGTGTGGTAGTGTGTTTGTTTCCTTGTCCAGACCCACACACTTATACACAAATAACCCGCACATAGGAGAGAGAAGCTTATGACGAGGTTTCGGTCCGACTAGGATCATTTACAAGTCACTTGTAAATGGTTCAAGTCGTACCATTTACAAGTGCGGATTTGTTTTTTCAGACTCACAGTTACGGACGGATCTACTGTGAAACTAACGTAGCTTAAGCCTGAGGGGCCCCTAACCCCTGAGAGGCCCCAGAAATGACTTTAGTCTACACTATTTAAAATTTTTGGGTCTATTGTATGTGAAAGGGTTGCGAAGGGGCCCCCATAGCAGTTCAAGCTTCAGGGCCTCGAAAATGTAGGTCTGCCGCTGGTCACATTCACTCTGATCAGACATCTTGTATCTTCACTCTTAGTGTGCATAACTCACCACCAGTTATGAGTCTTTGACCACAAAGATAAAATAATCACAAAAATGAATACTTCGTGAAACGTTGAAAAGAAAAATGGAGTCAGACTCACCATCGAGCTCTCGTCTATGGAGTCCAGACTCATGACAGTAACGTGGAAGTACACCACTGTGGGATTTCCTGTACAGTAATGAAAAACATTAGATACACATATGAAAGCCAAAACAACGGGGATTTATCTCTCTCTCTCTCCCCTCTCTCTCTCTCTCTCTCTCTCTCTCTCTCTCTCTCTCTCTTCTCTCTCTCTCTCTCTCTCTCTCTCTCTCTCTCTCTCTCTCTCTCTCTCTCTCTCTTTCTCTCTCTCTCTCTCTCTCTCTCTCTCCTCTCTCTCTCTCTCTCTCTCCTCTCTCCTCTCTCTCTCTCTCTCTCCTCTCTCTCTCTCTCTCTCTCTCCAGCTGTGACCTACAATGGTTCGGAATATTCTGAAATTTTACCCTAAGCTTTCTCTTATAATTGCGGGTGAGATGTAAATTATTAAGAGTCTCAACTGTCACAAACTGTGATAGTAACTGGGAAAATAGTTGAGGTGGTGACTCATCCACTGAAAGTCAGGACAGGAAGAGGATTTTGCTTTCTTTGCAGGTACGCGAGATTTTGTAACTTTTTGTTTATACATTTTATAAAGACAGGCTGATTTGTTGACTGGAGAGACAGACTGACCTTGTGACTGGAGAGAGACTGACCTTGTGATTGTGGGGGACGCATCTTGTCATAGCTTTTCGTGTCTTCTGGTAGAATGTCCGAGATCTCCAGCAGTGAGTCTTCACTAGCACTCGCTCTGAGAAGGGAGAAACTTTTATTGAGGCGGTAGTAAGGTGATAAGGCTTTATACTACCGAAATGTGATTACAGGGATAGAGGTATGGATGAAATGAGGGAGAGGTGGAGGAAGAAATAGCGGGGAGCAAGGAGGGAGGGAAGACAGAAATTTGGCATGTAAGGAAGGCCCGAGGGAAGAGAGAAAGAAGAAAGGAAATAGAGAGGTTTGAAAAAAAGAGACAAAAAGGACAAATAAAGTCACATTTTCTTCTCCTTATCCCATACAAATCCACAAACATCCAGCCATATTGAGACACAATGCTTCCAAAGTAACAGTTCCAACTCTGCTATAACGAAGCCTTTGTAACAGCTGTCACAGCTAAGCTATAGTGAGAAGCTTGAGCTCCTCACACTAATGAGTTCTCCCAGCTCAAGCTGACACGTCATTACCTCATATATGAAATCCACCTGTGTGAGGGACCATGGCAGAGACACATAGCCAGCTGCTCCTTCATGGAGTATGACAGGTAAACAAAGCTAGCTTCTGTTCCCTCTACATAACTCTCATGAAATTCATCCAGTATGATGGAATATGACAGGAAACACAATTAGCTTCTATTCCTTCTATATAACTCTCATGAAGCTCATCCAGTATGATGGAGTATGACAGGTAAACAAAGCTAGCTTCTGTTCCCTCTACATAACTCTCATGAAATTCATCCAGTATGATGGAATATGACAGGAAACACAATTAGCTTCTATTCCTTCTATATAACTCTCATGAAGCTCATCCAGTATGATGGAGTATGACAGGTAAACATAGCTAGCTTCTGTTCCCATTATAATATTCTCGTACAGCTCATGGTAGCAAAAATATTACAATTCTGTTAATTAGTTCAGTAACGAAATTAGAATTGATACACCTGATTAAAAATTAATAATTAATAACGCCATGAATACGCTGGGTGAACGGGAGGGGATGCTGGAGATCAGGAAGTCATCTTGATATGTTCTCGCTATTTTGGTGAAAGAGGTGTCGAGTATTGACCTATATGTGGGTGCAGGGGTTGAGCCACAGCTCCCGGCCACGCCCCTTCCAGGTTCACTCTCCTCCGGCTTCAAGAACCCCATTATGACTCACAAAAATCGTAATAACACAATTATAAAACCACGGAACGGGTGGGATTCGAACCCATGGTGAGTGAATGCTACAACTCCAGGCAGGTACCGAAACCACTCACCCTGTCGTGCCATATCGTGAATGATGGTGACAGTGTTTTCTTCTGTGGGTCACCGTGCCTTAGTGGGAACTAGCCGATATATTAAAACATAATACAATCTCAAACTTACTCTATTGAGTGCATTTGATAGGCAAAATTTAGCAAAAAACTAAAAATTTCAAATGTCCTTAAAAAAAAAAACTTGATATTTCTCAATATTTTTATTTTTTTTTGGAGTTTTTTCCAACATTTTTTAGTATATATTTTTTTCCACTACAAGTTTACAAGTGAATGTTTTAACAAATGTTTGAACACCTGTCACAAATAGTCGACCCTTTGTAGACAGAAGGGGGAACAGAAAGGGAAAGAATTCAGTTTGTAAAATAATTTTGATCAAAAATATGGCATCCATGTCTTGTGGAATTAAGGAGGATATAAGAATAGGTTCCAAACCTTTAAAAGAGCTAATCGTTGCATTTATAACTTCTCAGTTTGAAGAGTCTTGAATGTTGATACTTACGCTGAGGTCAGTGATAGCTGCAGCAGCAGCAGCAGCAGCAGTACTAGCAGAAGC